ATATATATACCAATTATAAAAATTATTAATTAATTCAATCATAATACTTGACATATAAATATATTGAATACTTGTTATTGGGCTTTTTTATGTGAATGATCAATGATAAGTTGGGTTACTCACTTTGTGGCTAATGGAGAATCCTACTCACATCTACTCTCACTACAAAATTGTCTCATGAAATAATTTATAGTAACTGTAGGAAACATCTGATATATACAAGATTAATTCTTTCTCATTCTTTTTCTAATGAATTAAATTAAGATTGTGAACATTGATTTAAGCTTTCTACCATGTATACATATTTGAAGACATTCTTCTGGGTGTGTTTGGTTGGAAAAAAAAAAAGAAGAAAAAAAAGTGAGAAATAGAGAGGAGAGAAATAGGAGAATAGAAATAAGTAAGAAATAGAGTGAAAATTTAATTGTTTGATTGAAGAAAAATAAGTGACAAATAGGTAAAAATATAATATTATGTATGTTTAATAAGATAAAAAATGTGATAAATAAAGTATATAAAAAAAAAGAAATAAATAATATTTTAAAATTATTTTTTATAAATTATTTTTTTTATTTTAAATAATTAAAAGTGAGTAAATAATTTTAAATTAATATTTTTATATTAAAAATTAATTTATCATTAAAAAAATAAAAATATTTCAAAATATGGTTGTTGTTGAATCAGTTTTCCATAGTGGGATCATATTCATATATAATAATAGAATCATGTCTCCTCAAATAAGCGATATCTACCCAAAGTAGTATGAGCATAATCGAAGATAGATGGTATAACGTATTTTCAATAATTGATCTCATGTGTTATTGGTGTATATATTTATATATATAATTTATTTTATAATTTTTATTTATTAAAGATTCATGAAAATAATTTCAAAATATATTAGGTAAATAATTTTTATATATAATAAAATTAAAGACAAGGATTAAAATAATCAATGGAGTTAATGTAATATTCATTTATAAATATTTAAATAAATTATAAGTAGCAAGGTATTATTTAATTGATGTTTAAAATAAAATATTTTATAATATCTAAATGAATTGATTTTTAAGATAAACTATTATATACATATCTAATTAATATAATTTTAAAATATATATGTATAATTAGATATATTTTAAATTAATATTTTTATATTAAAAATTAAATAAATAATAAATTTAAATTAAGTAAATTAAAATAAATAAATAAATAAAATTCTAAACATTCATTCGATTAAATAGAATTCTATCCGAATGAAAGTTACGTTTTCGTTAACGTATTTGAATAAATTCTTGTTTGAATAAATACTTTTTTTTTGTTTTGAAAGAAAACGTATTCAAATAAAAGTTTTATTTATTCAAATAAATGAGCTTTTTTTTTTCCACATAAGTAAAGAAAGTGTTATTCAAATTGTAAGTAGTTTTATTTGAATACAAATAGATTTTTAGTATGTATGGTTTATTTTTGCGCTGATTTATAAAGAAATAAAAGGTGTGGATCTCACACATTTTTATTTCTTCCTAACATACCAAATGATTATGATCTTTTTTCTTCACTATTTCTTCTTCACTCTCTAACCTATTTCTTCGCTATTTCATATCAATCAAATGAAGCGTAGTTAAATTGTGAGATGAGATCATGATACATCATGTAACAAAATCTAAAGCTTTTCTGTTAAAGTTCCTGCAATATTAGAAAAAATTCTACTGAAATTTTGATTATTATAAAAAATATTACATATAATGACATACAAAAAATGTTATTATAAATATAATATATATATATAAATATAAATTTATTTAATATATAATTATATAATTTTAGTGTTGATTTTAAATACGGTTCAAAAACATATTATGTGTCATTATAATTTATGTTTATACTTTTTATTAATATACCGATATATTTTATATATATATAAGTAATTTTTCATGATAATTATATGTTTTAGTGTCGCTATAGAATGTATGTATATGTGAATGCTTTTGTAGTGTGTTAATTAGTTGTTTCGTAATATATTGTATTTCATGTTAGAGATGCTTGACAATCTGGTGTGGTTAAATAGTCTTTTGCAGTTTAGATACTTGCATGGCCTACTGTTAACGTGCCTATATGAATGATAGTCTTTTGCGGTTGGAGTTTGAGAAGATTATTAATTAAGTCATAATTATACATTATGGAATGTATTAAATTTAAAATAAAATATTAATATAATACTTATAGGTTTACAACTTTACCATATCACAATTTACAAATCATGTATAGTGACTTAATCTTCTTATTTAAAATTGAAAATTCTAATCCCTTATTACTGTTGTATCTTATATTATTTCATGTTTGTGATTATTATCTCGCACTATCACTACATGTGAGAAGTTCACTAGTCAACCGTTGCTTCATCTTTATTTATGACACGAAATAACATCTTTATTTAACTAAAGTACGAGTTTAGGTACTCATACGATGTAGAATGAATATACTAATTATATTGCTACGCGTAAAGTATTAAGTAATAAGTCTATGTGCAAGCATTTTTTAAAATGTGAGTACGAAAGCCAGTTATATAATAATCTAGCCAAACCAAGGTCAGTGTCATTCCAACAAAACACACTTTGCAAATGTAGGATGATATTAATAACTCTTCTTCTTAAATGTTTTTCAAAGTGACATTTCACTAAAAAAAAGTGATTAATCTCTCAAAATTATATTTATTCTTAGGAATCTTTATACTCGTAGATCTGGAATCGAAATTTTGAATAGAGTTTCAGATGTACACAAGTATTTGAATCTTTTCCTCTATGACAAACTGATCTTAAAGCAATGCTGCTAAACCAGAGAAAGTAGTGATATAGTTAATTTATGAGAAGAAGGATGCATAAAAAACATGGAGAATGATTTCACATGGGAAGAGGGGAAAAATGAGGAAAAAAAAGAAGAAATGGACAACGATAAAGCCAAGTGTTCAGAACCTACTAGTATAACGATAGTGGATTAATTAAGGGTGATACAACCAAGGAGAGAAGAAAGGTTAATTCGGTGATTAAATCAAAGAAAATGAGAAATACAAGCCTGGCGAATCAACCAAAGAAAAATAAGATAGCAGTTGTAGTGAAACAACCAAGAAATTAATATTTAAGGGATGTTAAATGTTTGTTGTCTCTACTTTGTTAATGCTCAAAACCATGTCTATGTTCCCGAGCTTTCTAGCAAAGAGAATGGGGACATGAATAATTAATAAGAACTTGATTCATAATACTTAATTTTCTTATGCTTATATTCATTGAATAATTTATAGTTTTTTTATTTATAAATTGTATAGTCAATATGTGCTTTTAGACCATTACATAGTGTTTTTATAAATACTTTTGTATTAGTATATGAAATATATTTTCATGTAAAATCAAGAAAGTCATGAAATCAAATCAAGTATTTGAGAAAAAATAAAGGGTGATTTCTCTTCTCTTCATCTATATTATTCCTTGTTACTTCCTTCATATGCAATTTGTAATAATTTGGCCTTTTTCCTTTTTACTATAAAAGTGTGTGCAAAAGAGTGAGAGAAGAGCATATACATCTATGTGGATAACATAGAAACATGATGGTTAAGCTAACCTCTAAAAGATTACCTTGTTGCTCTTTGAGAGTATGTCTTAAAGCATTAACTAGCAGGGAGAAAAACAAGAAGGAAAAGTTGGATGCAAGTATTTATTCAAAGCTACAGCATGTTATGCTTTTAAGACATTCTCTGGATAAACATGACTCTAGTTAGGTATGATGAATCTTAAATAGGTTAAATCCTACATTGAGGAATCTGTTTTACGTATAAAACGAAAGAATTTAATTATAGTTCACTCAATCTAGCAATCAAAGTTAGCTCATCAACTGTAGGACAAGCTACAAAATATTCTTAGTTTCGTAAAGTAGTTGCTTGCACAGATTTTGTCGCTTTGAACCCTTGGATAATAGTAAATATAATATGCATAGACGAATCTATTTAGCTTCTAACAAGGTTTTGTTTTAAGCATTATATATTGTCAAACCAAACACAAACGCCCTAAAAAATGTTATAACACACTTAGAGATCTATCACACTTTCCTTTCCTCTCACCATTTTTTTCTTTCATCCACTTTCCTTTGAACCTAAAATTGACAGTTTAAAAGGTATAAGGTTAGAAGCTTCAAATTGTTTTGTTAATAAAATTGTATGTTTTTAAGACATTAATTAAACTTATTACACGACTTCTACATGAAAACCGGCCTTTTTAAATAATGGAAATTAACAGAAATCAAGAAATATAATTAGTTTTTCCCCCACTTGTTTGATTGGAGTTGCTTAATTATAAGAGAGAGATGCTAAACTTCACTTGGTCAAATGCAATAATGTTAGGATTCCTTTAATAAATTATTCCATAGAATACCAACAAACAAGATAAATGATCTACTTGTCTTGATTATTTGGTGAACGAATTGGTTATCCATATAGCTTCAAGATTTTTATTTTTTTTTTGTTATAATGTTTTCACATGTTAGAGTAACACTATCCATACTTTAATTTGTTCGACCTCCAGACGCTAAATATGGAAACAAAGAAATTGTTATATGAAAAACAAAATATCATCACAACCGAACTTCATAGTCCAAAATATATATTTTTGTTATTGATTTGAGCCTATGATTTATTCAACTCAAGGTTAATGCACAACAGTCTAGTCTAACAACTCCAACAACCAAAAGAAACGTTTTACAGTTGTTCCTAGCTAGAGAAACTGAGTCCTTAAAACATACCTAGCCAAACAAAATGAGTCTTCAATAGAAAAATCAGTACTTCTTCACAAACAATTCAAAGGAAAGAAGGAAATTTAGAGAGAGCAATATATATGTGATCAATTCAACTTCTCACCTTTGTGCCCCAAACTAATTGGATCAGTAAGATTGCCTTCCACCGGAGTTCCCAGCCCAACCATCAACAGGTAACTGAGGCATGTTTAGGGGCAAATTGAAGAATGGAAGTCCAGAAGACGGGTCCGGAAAAGAGTTATTACTAACTCCACCACCGCTGCCACCACTACCACCTCCAGCAGATGACTGCCCTTGTTGCATATGCATAGATTCATCTTCATCCAAGGGCAACCTCTCGTATGCCACATTAGTAAAAGATGAAGCAATAACAATAACAGGTCCAGAAGCTACCAATGGACCAACAACATTTCCTCCCACCACTTGACCCTGTCCTCCACCAAGGAACACGGTCAAACTTGTAGCATCTGGTGGAGCTGGTGGTGGGAGGAAAGATCCTGATAAGGACAGGATCTCAAATCTCCCGTGTAGTGTGACGACGGCACCGGCTGCGGCCGGCTGCCGTAACGTCACGTTAGTCACGGTGCCACTTCCACTGAGAACACAGATCCCTCTCTGTCGCTTCCTTGCATAGGTGGCGACCGAGTCAAACACATCACAGCCACTACTGACTTCAAGGATGTGAGCCCTAAGCGTGTTTGCACTCTCTCTTGTGATGATAACAGGTGGTTTTGGCTTGTTCTTTGAACCTGGAGGTCTTCCTCTAGGCCTGCGACCAACAACATCACCAGGACCTGGATTTGGTGTAACTAGGTCAAGCCCTTCGTGAGTGTTAACGTTGTTGTCTTGGTCTTGTTGGTTCTCATCATCTTCAAGGTCAGGGCGTTGAAGGCGATGATGAACAAAATGTGATGCTGAACCCAAGTCTATGCCGGCCATACACACAAAGCTCTAAAGAAGTGTAAACAGAAAAACAAAAGGAAATAAAAAAATTGGAGCAATTAAAATAAGAGAAGTTTAATTAGAATAGTAACATGAACAATTAAATTATGCACAGGGAATTTAAAAAGAAGTATTAGGAGTGCCCAATGATTCAAACCTCAGAACGAATAGAAAAACAAAGGGATCAATTGAGTACTGCAGAGAAAACGGAATGGGATGAGGTTGGAAGGGAAAG